CACATATAATTTGTTTCTGAGGAAATTGCAGGTTCAGGAATATTGTAGGATGTGGTAAAAAGCCTCAAGATGGCTGTCATGATGGTGTGAGCAAAGCTCTGCCTGTTTTTTGGGGCATTGCAAATTTTTAAAAAATGGGCACAGCTTCAATCACACCATCATGGCTGCCATCATGAGTTTTTTGACCACACCCTGTGGACACCCCTGTGCAGGTTGCATGAGAAGGAAAACCCTGCAAAAATTTAAGGAAACCGTAAAAGCAAGGAAGGTGATCAGCCTTCATTTGTCTCTGATGTTGATAATGGATTAGGTGAAAGGGTACAAAATGAAGTTTGGTTCAAATAACAGAGAAAGCCTTCTGGTTAGTCAGGAGGCTGCAGAAATACTTGAAGTCCATGTCCCCATGTTTAGAATCTCATCATTAGACCCTTCCATTAGCTGATGTCTATATTTAAAGACGATGCAAATCTACTATAAGTTGATGAAAGAAACATTTGTTTCAAAGAAAAAGAGAAAAGTAATGAAATTCTCATCATTGAAGAGCGGTATACAAAGTCTGAAGTGATAAGATGTCAGCAGCCTCCCTGGCTTCCTATAGTTTCATGAAATCTCGAGAGATAATACCAGGGGGAATTCCTCCTCTCTTTTTTTTCAGATTTGCGCAGCCTGGTTCCCTTCAGAATGATAAAATAATGAATAATAGGAAACATCAAGACCAGCAGAAGCACCATATACCAACTCAGACGACAAAGTAAGCTCTAAAGAGTATTAAGAGAAGTGCTGCTTCTGCTTTCTTCCCCTTATTCCCCAGAGAATCCAGAATTTATGTTAAATTCCTGGCACTTCTGGGGAAGATGGCAGACTGAAGATGGCTTCACAAAAAGTGGAGCCAATGTTTGTGGCCATGAACAGGGAGCTGATGGATAGATCAGCTCCTTTGACTCTCTCTGGACAAAGAGAGGACACAAGATTGCCCAAACAGTTCTCCTTACAATTGCTCCGCGTGAGGAGACTGCAAGAGAGCAGTC